GGCTTCCTGTTACTTCCAAAGCTGGCCATCTCCTCTTCTGATGGGACTACCCAACCAACATTTTCTCTCTGCTGTCTCTACATGAAGTTTCAGAAATTGCGTTCTTTACCAATTTCTGAAGTGTTTGTTTGTGTCTTTCGTAAATTAAGAACTCGGAATTTCTGGAGAACAAGAATTCAGGGGTTCGGGTAGCTGTAGTGATTTTTCTCTTTCAGAAGGTGTAGTTTATTTCCATTTGGCTACCATAGATCTCTTGCTTCTAAGTAGAGGGTGCTAGATGAGGGCTTAAGGGGTGTTATTAAGTCTGAATGTAAAATGAAAAGGCTTTTACTAAGGAAAGTATACACTGGGTAGTGTTATATCCATTTTCCCAGGGAAACTCTGCTGTTGTGGTTCTTCATAAGTAAATTGAGTCTGAGTCAGGGCTGTTGTAACCCTCAGTTATCTATTATGCCTTTATAATGCTTTTTTGAAAGACTTAACAAAGCTGATTTCCATTAGCCATGGTTCTGTGGTCTGCAAAGTAATCTGTAATAGCTTGAGACTCCCTGGATTATATCAGGGAATGCATTGGCAGCTGCAGTCTACAGAATTGTACAGCACGATGTAAACAGGTGGCCTTAAGCAAGTAAGTTAAATACAGAATTTTTATTTCTGTGAATTTTTATTTCTATTTATTTATCATGTGTGTATCTTCAGGACTCAGGCTTGGAACTCTGCAAGTGTTTCTTTTCTTTTGAATCTGAGAGATTTCAGTGGATTTTTCACTCTTTTCTGGTTTGTGTCAGGTATAGTGCTACTGACACTACTATTCTGTTAACTGAAGAATCAGAGAAAAAGTATACTTCTGTAGTGGGGAGAGATTTTTAGTAACTCTTATGTTGTAAAATGTAAAAAATATTTTAACTAAAAGATTACCTGGTCCTGTGTGAGTCTTTTTAGTTACTCTAATCCATTAAAGATTTGTTCTTCATTTGTTCCTCAAGAAATATTTTGAGGTAATGTTCATAAATGTGCAATGGCATCAGTTGTACGGAGTGCTTCAATAAAATATTTAAATATCCACCAAATTCTGAATGCTGTTGTATTGTATGTGTGTTTTCTCTGTGTAGTTTGTCTATCTACCTGTGGCTTTATTATAGCATACACAGATGATCCCAATAGGTTTTTCAAATCTGGATGATAATTTTGAGTTGCTGAATGACATTTATTTGTCTGTGTAGGAGTTTTCATAATTTTCAGCAGTCCTTAGACACACTTTGCAAGTCCTAGGACCCTATTCCACTTTAAGTACAGCTTTGTGAAGTTTGAGAACCAGGGACCTGGAGGCAAACTGGGAAAGGATGTTGTTAGGGAATAATATGAATTAAAGTTTTCACTGCTTTATATACATGTATGAGCTGGGGTATTCCTACAGTAAGTAGAAGGAAGGTGCAAGAGCTTGTGCTTTGCTCAGCAGGGCTAGAGCCAGCATGTTGGTAAGGATTAGGTGTTTGTACATCTGTGTATCATACAGCTTTGTCTCAGAGCAAGAGACAGGAATAAGACAGCTGCTCACTGTAAGTAGCATAAATACTTGCTGTCTTGTCGGCACCATCTGTGTGAACAGATCTAAGGAAATCCTTGAGGGCCACAAATTCAAATTGTTGTAAAACTCTTAAGTGATAAGTTACTGTATTGTATGTCACAGTAAGATGAGGTGGGGAAGGGTGCTGCTGTACAAGGGAGAGTGTCACATTTTGACAGAAAAGTGCAGCTAGAGGCAAGGAAAAAGCAGGGGGTGGAAGGTAAGGTAGGTTGGGTAACACTCCGAGGTATAGGGCAATCATTAGGAGATGGACTATTAGTGAGAGTTTCAAGTGAATAATGGCTAACTGAACTGGAAGACCTGTGTGAGCTGGAAATCAGATAAAGGGAATGGGAAGAGGAGAAAGCGAGTAAACGCTGCTGGAGGTGGTGGGAGAGAAAAGGCCTAATGAACACGGATTTTGGATAACTTAGTCTAAGCACAAAGTGCATTTTTGTTGTAGCTCTGTGCTTTGCCATACCTGGGTGGAAAGTCTGAGCTTTCAAAGTTAATATATATCGTAACAAGTTTCTGTTACAAACTAGTCTCGTTTCCCTTTATGCTTGTCTAGCTAATCAGTTTTTACCTGAAAATTTCTAGGTTAGCTCTGACATAAAATGCTTTTGTGCTGTGTTTGTGTAAATAAACATGTCAGTTGTAAATATTCTTTTGATCTTGAAATCAGTGTACTGTTAAAATTTGTTTTGCAATCTATTCATAGCTTGAAGTGCTGTTGTAGTGCAATTGCTGTCAGATAAAAATAACTCCCTGCCTTGTGAGATTTCTTTTTTATTTTCCTGATGCTTAGCAACTTTAATGGTGTAAGTATTTCGTTGAGGTAGGATGTTTATATAATTATAAAAGACTTGTAGGAAGAAGGGTAAAGTAAAATTATTTGGTGTTGTGTTTGTGCGAAAACTAGTGCTGTTTGAGAGCATTAAATAGTGGAATGACTTGCATCTATAAATAGTGATCTTTGATCTTCAATCTAAGTGTTGTGAGGCTGTTAGGTATTTGGAATAATGGTGAGAACAGTGTTAAACAGTCAAGCTAAATCCCTGTTTTGTTCCATAACCTGTAATGAGCAATGAGTAACCTCTTCAGGGAATGGTGTGTACAGAATGACAAATCCTCCATCAGTGTACACTGACTTCAACTGTGTGGAAGCTTTCAAAGCCATGTGTGGTTTACAGATCTATTGCTGTCTGTCAGACTTTGTTATTAATCTGCTGTGAGTTTAACTTTTTTTAAAGGATATTTTAAAAACTTTTGCTTTTGTGGAAAACCAGTTGAAACATAGGAAAGAGGTTGGTCTCTTACTTTTCTAACCAGTGAGCTAGGTTCATTTAGCACATTTTAGACCTTGTTTGTGGGAAAAGGCAATTGTTTCCTGTGCAGATAGTACATTATTTATGCTCTCTCTCTTGTGTATTATTATTATTCTCTCTACTTCTTTTGCTCATTTTCTGCACTATCTATAACCTCCTTAATAGTCAGTAGTTCTATAATGCCGAGTATTACTGTTTCCCTTGTGCATTTTATTACTGTTACGCTGTATGCTATTTAAATTGGGTGTCAAGAAGCTGTTCACAGTGTTGAAGATAAATGTTTGCTTCTACTCATTTTCAGTCATACCAAGATTTTTGAGTTAATTTAAAGGATGATTTAGTTAGACTGTTATGTGCTTAACCGACCTTCTGTGAAGGTTCCTTCAGCTGAGGTCTTTGCAGTAAGTGCCAAAAACAATTGGTCCATCTTCCTAAACTATCTGGAAAGATCAGTTTAATGGATTGAAGAATGTTCAGGATGACACCATCTGTTCTAAAGCATCTCCTTTCTCATTGTGGTCATAGCAGTATAATTGAAATACAGTGTTCCTTCTCTAGTGGTTCACCTGCAAACTCCTAACCTGCTGGGGTGGGGTAGGGGGGGAAATGTATGCATTCTCATGACTTTGATGTCATCTAATCCAGTAGAACAAGCAGTTCCATTTACAAAAAACAGTCTTTTTGAGCTGCCTTTCAGGATCACGTCATTAAAAACTGTTGAATGGCTGTGCAGTCTCCATCGCTGGAAGTTTTCAAGACTTGCCTGAATAGAACCTTAACCAACTTGACCTGGCTTAATAGCTGAACCTGCTTGCAGCAGGAGGTTGAACTAGAGATCTCCTGTGGTCCTTTCCAACCTGAGTTAATCTGTCATCTTCTATTTCTCTGCAACTCACTATAAAAAGAAATTCAGTTTTCAGTACTGAAGGGAAAAAATAGCAGTTCAGTTGTTTGCATAATTATAAAACCTTTTTTGTGAACAGAAGTAGATATTGTGCCACAGCTATAACTTTGTGCAGTAGATTTTTAGTTTGTATATTTTGTCTGATTTCAAAAATTATTATGTAAAGAGACTAATTAGAAATAGTGGAATGTAGGAGTCTCTTTTTTTGTTTTTACTTTTTTACCCTCCCCGTCAAGCAAATATTGCTCCTTATCTTGCATGGATTTTGGCCAAGAAATGTCTGGTGCTAACAAAATCTTAATTTACAGAAGGGCAAGCTGTTGCTTGCAAAGTATCAGCTCTGATTAGAAGACTGATTAAATAACTTGAAATGTCTTTCCAACCTTTTATTTATGGCCTTTTAAGCAAATATCTGTGACATATTTCAGTAGTTTTTTAGAAGTATTGGTCACCTGTGTAATACAGGTCTTGAAAATAGCTAAGTGCTATATAGAAATAAGTATTCTTATGTTGCTGGAAATCTGTATTTTATGGCATGCATTAGTTAGGAACTGATTTGTAAGTTCTGTGGATTTCAGATGCATGCATCTTATGTATCTGTATTGGCAGAATAGAATAAAATTGCATTGCTGGATGTCACGTGATTCATAGAATCGGTGTTCTGCTTTTTTGCAGTCTGTATAAGAATAATGGGTGTTAAGTTTTAAAAATGCATTTTTAAAGGTTTTAAATAACAAAATAGCTTTTCCAACTAGTTGCTTGAAAACTTTTGTCTTTTGGTCTACTGTATTCAAGCTAAAAAATGGGTTCTCTGGTTTGTACTGATTGCCACATTTGTGTTTCCAGGACACTCCATATTTTACTTAATATCTGTTATTATTACTTTATCAGTGCCATATTGTTTATGGATGTAATATCACATTAAAATCTCTCAGGAAACTCAGATAAGCCTGTGTGGTATAGGTAATGCCAAATGCTTGGTGTCTTAAAGGTAAGGTTAGTTTGTCTATGTATAAACTACACTTTGTATCTTGTAGTTGTTCATATCTTGCGGTTTCATTTTGTATCACTTCTGTGAGGTTTCCATGTTTCCTTAAAGAGTAAAAGACTTAAGTGTCTTAACAGGGGATGAGTCTTATTTCTCTTTCAGGAGAGGTGGTTGTGATGCTACTTCAAGCCTGCGTGAAGGCAGGAAAACTGCTTAGAGAGTGCAGTAAGCCTCGTTTTCTGTTTGATTTGTGGAGGTGGAGATATCTTACAGTCTTTCATTCTTCACAGGGTTACACATCATTCTGGAATGACTGTATCTCCTCAGGATTGCGTGGTTGTATGTTAATTGAATTGGCACTGCGAGGGCGGCTTCAGCTAGAGGCTTGTGGAATGAGGCGCAAAAGTCTACTAACAAGAAAGGTAAGTGGAAGAAAATGATCACAGTTGCTTTCGTGTCATGTTTAAGGAAGTACAGGACCTGTAAATTACATTGGTTATAAGAAAAAGAATTCTTATTTTCTTTACGTGGGCATAGGGATCCTGAAGTGACATAAGTTAGATGCACAGAGTTAAGTGTTTCAGTGGTGAGCGGACGTGCCTTCAGTACTTGTTCTCTGCTTCTGTTTGTTCTCTTGGTGTATTCCTGCAACTGTTGGGAATCTTATACAAATATTTGACAGTGGGTCTTGTCAGGGTGCAGTGGCAGCCATGACTGCTGAGAGCCAGTACCACTGTTTGTGATACCACTGCTGAAGGAAGTGGCTTGTGCAAGGTTGGTGAGATGTGGGCTAGGGCGGAAAAGAATGGCTGACAGTCTGCCAGCTGTGTCCTTCAAGCCACCAGTTTATTCTGGTGAACACGATGTAGTTTGTGCAGGGGAACAGAAGGAAGCTAACCTTGTACCTTGGGCTCCCAGAAAACAAAATTCTGTCTAGTTTGAGCATGAGTGGTGTATTAAATATATTGTACCACTCACTGACCTTTTGAGATGGCCAAATTTTTAAGGTCCTTTATTAAATTAGCTGAAGATTTGAGGCCTTAATTTATTACTTTTGCTGCTGGATTTTTCTGTTGTACAAAATGTGCAAAGTCAGAGTGTCAGAAGAATTTTGACTTCATCAGCATTAGCGGATACTTACTTTACAAGATTAATGAAAACATGGTTAAATGTTATCTATCCATGACAGATAAATTCTCTTTTATGGCACTTTTCCCTGTCAATATTATCTTTTGCTGGCTTTTTAAAAGTAAAGCTTACAAATCCCCCAACCTTCTCCCAGCTTCACCCTCTTGAATCTTAACCTGTGTTCAAACAGCTCCTACTTCTTTTAGCTCCATTTAAAGTATACTCAGCATTAATTATTTTGCTTTTTTTTTTTTCTCCAAAACTTTTGGCTTCTTAGGCATATAGGAATGTTTTTAGTAGGTTTTTTTTTTGTTGTTGTTGTAAACATTGTCAGCTCTATCAACCTGAAATTTTGATTATGAGGTGTTTTTTCCTTATTTGTTTTGAAAATGGCAAATTGATGTGGGCCTATCTACAATAAAGAATGCAAGCAAGTTATTATCTTTTTTTTTTTTCTTCAGTGTTTTATTTTGTGTGGTTTTGTTGGTTTGGAGGTGGGTGGTCATGGTTGTTTTCATTGTTTTTTATTTGGTTGGGGTTTTTTTAATTTTAATTTTTGTTAAATTTTATCATGTTGTTTTGAGGGTGGGTGTGTTTGTTTTCTCCTTCCCTTCTCTTAATTAAGCTACCCAATATTAAAGGTTTTGTTCCTTCTTCTGCTGTAAGGCAAATGAGATTTCTTTTTGCAGGCAGGAGGGTTCTGTGAAAAAAGCTTTAATTTAAAATTTAAATGAAGATTGTTTTCTGCTTAAATGATTTCTTGCAAATAAAATCTCTAACTGGTGATATATTTGAGATTTCTTCTCCTGCACCAGCTCTCAGTTTAGAAATTATTTTCATGAATGACTTGTATTGGTTTATGCCTTATTTTAAGTTTTACATTAACAAAATTTCAGTCTTGTTTCTGTGTTGGCTAGATTTAGATGCCTTAACTCCACCAAGTGTCTTCCTTAATTCCCTTTTGCAGGCTTTGCTCCCTCTGCCCTCAGCTTATGCTGTGAATTAAATGCTGTGAATTGAATACTGTGCTTAGTGTGTGGAATGAGCTCTCTAGTGCATCCAAGGTTGTGATTCATGGCAGTACCATTTTCTATACTTTGTGTCATCCAGATTAGTCCTTCTTCATCCTCATGCCAAGTCCATCTTTCAATTTTGTGGGAAGGTAAAACCTCCTGAAACCTCAAAACCTTGATTTGTGAATCAAAACCCTGTATCTTCAAGCCATGATCTGAAGGGGGGAGTTTAGTTTTCAGTCACTTTAGCTTGTGTTGCAGATGAGAAGGGTAGTACTGTCTTTGCAAAGAGACTTACTGGAGTCTCTCTTGGATTGTTACTAGCATTTTTGCAGCCTTGTCGTGTAACCCCTCTGGCTGAAAACTAATTCACTTCTTCAATCAGCTTATTTTTTACTTTAGTTGCTTTCTCGGTCTTGTCATCAGGTGTGGCACAAGTGAGACTTCTGGCACAAGCAATAAGATGAGCACAAGAAGAGGGCAGAACTCGTTCTTCAGACAGTAGTATGGGTTTGTGATGAGCTGTGGCCTTGCTCATACAACTGACTGAAAAGATTGCTAGCTACAGTGATTTGCACTTCAAGCCCTAAATCGGGTAGATCTTTGATAATTTTTGCAGTTTTTAAGACAGAACTTCAGAATGGATCAGGCTATGTTAAATTCATGCTTGAATGCCATAGGGAGACAAATGAGACTAGAAAAGCTGGCAGACAATATGATGTACTTCATGTTGCAGCATCTGCTTAAATTTGGGTTAAGGGTATGTAATCACTGCATCATTTTGGAGTTCTATCTACTGGTATCAGTTTTAGAAATAAATATTTAAATGTTGAGGTTTATGTATAAATAAGGTAATTTCTAGGGCTGGTGGTTATTGAAGATAGAAAATAGTACTCTGTGCTGCCCTACAACCTCAGAAAGAAAACTAAGCCATTAGAGTTCTTAAAAGAAATCCCACCAAATCCTTGGCAGATTAACTTCAGTATTTTACAGCTAACAATTCTGAGTTATTAATTTACGAGTGAATTTTTGTATTAAAACTAGATTATGAAGTTTACTTAAAAATCAACACAAGAAGTGCTTAATCTTGAACATTGCTTAATTATAAAGCTGCATTTTGGAAAATGTAAATCAAGTATCCTGTATAATTGAAATCTTCTCAGCAGCTGGATGCAAGGCAAATCTAGTACCAAATACATCACTGAGAAATTGGAATAAATAAAGACTTTTTGCAGTAAGGCTGCGACCACCATCTCTGAAGAGCCAGGATCTTAGGTTCTTTCTCTGCCTTACCTCCTCTGTTAAAGATAGAAAAACATTCTCCCTTGTGGCTGTTCAGAATTCTGTGGTGATTTAATTCACAAGATCCCCAACCCACTTCATTTCCTGCTGCTCTTGTGCTGTTATGACTCTGAAGGGTTAGCCAAGCTTATTGACCAGTTAATCCTTCAAGAAAGAGCAGATCCGTGAAGATACGAGGGGTGTGGCTAGTTTTCCATGGCTGCTTGACTCTGTGTGTTGGGAAGTGGTGGAGAAATATATTGAAGTGTGTGAACCACTTTTCACGTTATGTTGGAGAACAAAGAATTTGTCCCATGAATAGTCAGTATAACAGAGAAGTGAGAAGAATCATTGAATCATAGGCTGGTTTGGGTTGGAAGGGACCTTAAAGCTCATCCAGTTCCAACCCCCTGCCATGGGCAGGGACACCTTCCACTGGAGGAAGTTGCTCCAAGCCCAGTCCAACCTGGCCTTGAACACTGCCAGGAATGGGGCATCCACAGCTTCTCTGGGCAACCTGTGCCAGTGCCTCACCACCCTCACAGGGAACAATTTCTTCCTGATTCTAGTCTAAATCTCCCCTCTGTCAGCTTAAACCCATTCCACCTTGTCCTGTCACTACAGGCCCATGTAAAAAGCCCCTGTCCAGATGTCTTGTAGCCTGCTTTAGGCCCTGGAGCTGCTCTAAGGTTTCCCCAGAGCCTTCTCTTCTCCAGGCTGAACAACCCCAGGTCTCTCAGACTGTTCTCAGAGGAGAGGTACTCCTGCCCTCAGATCATCTTCCTGGCCTCCTGTGGACTTGCTCGAGCAGGGAAGAAACAATGGTGTATGCGTGGCTGCAGAGAGCTGTAAACTTGGAGACAAAATTGTGCACTGTGGCTTCACAAGAGCTTATGGAGTTCTGACTGAGTTGAATAGGAGAGTCTTTGTTCCTTACAGCTCTTTCCTTTAAATGGCTATATGTTTTGGCTCATATTGTTGCAATGCATTGTATTCAGGCTAGCTTAAATTTCTTTGCAGTGGTAGAAAAAAGTATTTTAACCTCAAATAAGAAAGGCTGTTTTCTAAACTTTTTAAAAAAACCCTTGTGTATATCCTAAACTTAAAAGCATTTTTTGTCTCTTCATTGAGGTTTGTTTTGGGCGGTTGGTGGTTTTGTTTTGTGGGCTTTATTTAGTTTTGGTGGGTTTTTTTAAATAATAATAAGGTAAGAAAGGTGATTTCACATCTTGCCTGTTAATGTGAAATGGTGAGCAGTAGGTTACCAGCTGCAACAGGCTGGAGTGATCCAGTGTAATGAAGACTCCTTTAATAAGACAATTCACAGAAACTAGAAGTCAGTTTTGAAAAGAAGCAATGATGGGTAAGTTGGGTGGGTTTAGGCTAATTTTTTAGGCTAACTATTAAAGGAGTATCTGACAGGCAATCTAGCAGCATAAAAGCCCAACTTCAGGCATACTCCTGTGTAATTAAAGAACAGACACTTCAAAACAAAATCAGAATCTTGATATAAAACTGCAAGACATGTGATACCATTACATGTACTTAATAGAGGTCTTGAGTGATGCTGTGGTGGAAGCTTGTAAATCAGAAAGACAAACATGCATTGTTTTGTGTTTTTAAAAAAGGAGTTGCCTGGATTAAAGTGTAGTTGTGTTCTTAAAACCAAACATCCAAGGGTTATGGTTGAAGTGATCTCCAGCTCCCCAAAATGGAGACTTGCATAGTGTCTCAAGAGACCATTTAATCTTGATGCAGTAATAGATAATGAGGTTTCTCTGTTTTTCCCTAGCAGATGTTTAGTCTTAAAATTCTCCATTGAATGCAGTTGAGCAGCTCCCTGGCTGCTTAACAGTTTAATTTGCCTGTTGAAGCTTTTGACAGTACATCCTGCTCTTCTGTATTTCCAGAAAAAAGCTGGTATCTTTTATTTTTTCCTGAAATAGGCATCATAAAATACTCTGATACCTTCTTTGTAAAAATGCCTTACATGTTTTTGTTTTAGATCTAAACAAACTTTGCCCTTTGTTGCCATCATTGCGGACTGGTCCATTCTTGCTGATTTTCAATGAAAATCTTATTTTCTCTGATTTATATATAACATCTAAATTGGAAATAATTTTCCAGCTATGACCTCTTAGGTATTCACAGAGATCTCTCCATCAATTTTCATTTCATCTCTGTGACTTTTCATATCTCTCAGTTTGGGATCATCTTGCCAGTATTAAAGCTGTCTTAATATTGCAGCTCATTTCAGTGTCATCTCAGACCCTATGAAAATGTACTGCACTCTACTGTTTATAGTAAGGATGACTAGAACTACAGAACAGAACTAATGGGATGTATTTCTAAAGGACACTTAAAGGTTTTCCAGGACACCTGACTACTGTGAAGTGTTACACAAAAAGCACTTTCTCTTGCTTCTTCTCTTACATACTGTGTTATTTTTTCGCCAGTTGCCTGTTACCTTTTTACCTGGTGCCTTTAAAGTGCTAATTTGTAATTGTTTAACTGCAGTATTTTGAATAAATTGACTTGAAGCAGTAAAATAGACTGCTATCAGAGAGTAGTTTAACACTATAGTTAGTAACTTTATTTTAGGGAGGAAGTGAATAACCTGGCTTGGTTAGTGGAGTATCTTGCTTAAAGATTAGGTGGTTTGGTTTTTGTTTGTTTGTGTTTTTTTTTTTTTTTAGGGTGTTTTTTTTTTAAAGTTCTGAGAGATGATTCCTTATTTTTTTAAGATTTCTTTAGTTTTGATAGCAGATACATTTTTTCTTTTTTTTTTTCCCCCAAGTTTTACTGGTGAATGTTTGTAGTATATGAATTAAGTCAAAATGCTGTTTTATTCTGTCATAGGTGATTTGCAAGTCAGATGCTCCTACAGGGGATGTTCTGCTTGATGAAGCTCTGAAGCACATAAAAGAGACACAGCCTCCTGAAACAGTACAAAATTGGATTGAACTGCTTAGTGGTAAGCCTTAGACATAACATGTTTGCTTTTTTTTTGCCCCCAATAAAGGTAATTATCTAGCATCACTAGAGATTGTACTATAAGGTTTGGGGGGAGAAAGTATGCAAAAAAGTTAATTAGTGTGTTCTCTAGGGTAGTCTCTTGTTGATTGTAGCCTGTAATCAAATATAAGTAACTGTTGCTTTTGACTTGGTACAGAAAGGATCTGTATGGAAGTGTCAGAGGACATATCAACTCTGTGGAAGAGGTGCCTTCTGCTGTTTCTGAAGTAAATCGGGACTGCACCCTGGAGATATAACTGCCTTTCTCTGTAATTGGAAATCAGGGTTAGTGGAAGTTTGGAGTATAGGTGTGGGATTCAGTGTTCAGATCTTTTTTATAAAGAAAGGAGATAAGGAGATTGCCACACAGATGTGAAAATTGAGGATTATTTGGCCAGTAATCATGAAGCAACAGAGTGAGGGGCTCTATTTTTTCATTAAGTGAGCAAATTTAATATTTTCAAGTGTTAGATGTTTTTTGTTGTTCAAAACAAAGTCTTCAAGATGAGTACTTCACACAAAGCACTTTCTGCACAGCTAGTAAGTTGTGGAAAAGAAACAAAACAAATGAAATACCAGTTAGATTTAATTTTTACAATTACAGTTAACATTTTTTTTATATACGTTACCAACAGTTGAATCCTTAGGATGCATAAATTAAACTGAAATTAACAATGACCATCTTCTAACATGCAGTGGTTTTACTGGGCTTTGGGGGGGGTTTCTTGTTTCTGTAGCCTGAATTCATCACCAGCATTTGTTTTTACAAAACACAGCAGCTTCCTTGGAGTATAGCAGAACTGTACTTCAGCTGTGCCAACATTGCAGGAGAAAAACACACTGTTTTGTCAACATCATGACTCTGGGAGGTTGGGGTGGGGTGTGGCTAATGAGGCTTGAAGTTGTTTCTCTGAATCTGTTGCTTGCAACAACTGATATGTAAGAATTTGAAAAACGAACAAATTTCTCCACCTCTCTCTGCTTGCTTGTTTTCATTATGTTCTTCCCATTCATCCTATACCACCATAAACGGCCTTCCTTGCACATCATCCACTTCATACTACTGTCCTTGCCATCCCTCCCTTCTTGCTCACTGACTGTAAGGCAGAGAGGGGAGACAGGAAAACAAAGCAGTCCTTGTCAGTAGGAGGCATGGCTGCAGTACAGCCTGGCAGTTCAGTTCTTGCTTAGCACTCCCTCATTTTAACAGCCTGCAAAACCAACTCATTTTTCTTTCCCCAAATACATAATTTGTGCTGACATTTCACCTTCTCTCTCAGTGCAGAGCACATCAAGTTAGGACTGATTTAAAAAAGGTCAACTAATGAATGAACAATGTTGTATATTTTTTCTTTGAGCTAAGCTGTTTCCCTGACCCTACTGAGCTTTGGCTCTGGGAAAATGGTTATTGTCAGTGTGGTGACCAACACTTGGATCAAACATTTTTACTTACATATTGTTATTACTAGTTCTTGGATGGCATTAGAGTTCTTTGTATTTCCCGTGGTTTAGAGGACTGCCTTTTGAAGAGAAGTATTGTTGTGTTTTGTTAGGTTTTATTTTATTATAAACTTTTTTCTTTGGGGCCTGATCCTTGAAAATAGCTACTCCCATTGTCATTACCAGCGATGTGAAAGAATGTGGCTTGAAGTTACAGTACATACGATTTCAGAGCCATTATGGAAATGTTAATGTTGACGTGTAAGGTCATGTTTGCCAGGCTGATGTTGTTTCTAAGATAGCTTCTAAGGGAAGAAAGTGTAGGGCATACAGAAGCCTGAATCAAAATGTCGGGTCTTCTGTAGACGTAACAAACATCTGCCTGCACAGCAAGTGTCGGTGTAATTGAGGAGATTGGTCACAAGGTGTCAGCACAGTACTGATTTTTATGGCCGTACAGCCACATCCACCTGATAAATGTAGACAAGTGTAGGAAATAGCCTTTGCCCTTTGAAACGCTGTAAAGAAACTACTGTTTTGTGTGTGTGTGTGTGTGTGTGTGTGTGTGATATTTTAATTCATGGTCAAGCTGAGGAATCATATTCAATGAGTGTGGGCCCTACAAGGGACTTGTATAGTTCAGGCGTGGGTGGTTTTTCTGCCTTTCACTATGCACTTAGTATCACCTCATTTGTTTACTTAAGTGGCTGTTACTTGGATACAGCATATGTCACCCTCCATCACAGCAGGAGAAACCTTAAAGTAATCTGTGGGTATTAATTGTTGTTGTCATACCAATGAATTTTTTAAAAGCTTTCTGGTACAGAAACAAGTTGATACAGAAATTTGTATTGCACCTACGGAAAACTCCATTTGTATAAGAAATAAGTACTGCTGTTTTTTCTCTGACCACTTAATATGCTTAGACTCTTTTAGAGATGTTAATACCTATGGTAATACTTTATTAGGCTGGATCTAAAATTTTAACTTGAGTAAACTCTTAAATAAAGGTGAATTTCTCAGTGCTTAACAATTCTAGCTTTATCGGTAGCTGTTGATGCTGACTTTGTGCTTTTTAAATTCCCTCCTCTACCCACACACAGTCATGCCCTCTAAAGAACCCAGTTCTCCTCCCTTGACAAAAATCATTAGAAATAACTTCTATATAAATATTAAATTCCCTGCCTAATGTGCTTGTATGTGCAAACCACTCACACAGTGCATGGTTTCACCTGGTGAGGGCAGGAACACAGAGAATGAAAACCTGACGAAATGAAGAAATACTCCGGGTAGGTCTGTATTAGCTTGCCTCTCTGGCAGTAAGAAAGGCAATGGCACTTCTTCCAGTCTCTGAAATGGTAAAAGAGTGGAAGTAAACAAATGTACAAGATTGGAGAAGATGTTTATTGTTAAACTCTGTGTCTGGTTTGGGTTTTGCTTGTTTGGGGATTTTTACTTTATACTTCAGATATACACTGAAGTTCCTCCAAGGAGGCTCTTACATTTTCTGTCTCTGTGTCTATATCTGGGTAGGTCCGATTGGAGAAATGCTGACATTGCCACAGTATTTTAGTGTAATAGTTAGCTATATATATTTCACAGCTCATTGTCCATCACAGTGAAGGGGGGGAAGGTGGGGAATTCACTCTTAACAGTGCAGCTTAGACTTCACGTGACCATTTGGTATTTTGCTTGTCTTTTTAGGTGAAACATGGAACCCACTGAAGTTGCACTACCAACTACGAAATGTCCGTGAGCGGTTAGCTAAAAATCTAGTGGAAAAAGGTGTATTGACAACAGAGAAACAGAACTTCCTCCTTTTTGACATGACCACGCACCCTCTCACCAACAACAATATCAAACAGCGCCTCATCAAGAAGGTTCAGGAAGCAGTTCTTGACAAATGGGTGAATGACCCTCACCGCATGGACAAGCGCTTGCTGGCACTTGTTTACTTAGCCCATGCTTCAGATGTTCTGGAGAACGCTTTTGCCCCCCTTTTGGATGAGCAGTATGATTTAGCCACAAAGAGAGTGCGTCAGCTTTTGGATTTAGACCCTGAGGTTGAGTGTATGAAAGCCAACACGAATGAGGTTCTGTGGGCTGTTGTAGCAGCTTTCACTAAGTAACTGCATTCAGACTGAAGTGTTCTCTCTTTCATGTAAACCAGTTGTTTAGTCTTCTATTGACTCTTCATGTTTTCTGTAATTTGTACCTTCTCACATGATGAATCGGCTTTTGTTTAATGGGAATTATAAGCGGTGTATTCCCTCCTTCTCTGTGTATCTGTATGCAGGATTCTGCTGGTACAAGAGACTCTCCTGTTTAAAAACAACAGAAAAAGGTTTTACTGCCATATTGGCATTCCATTTCCTATTCAGTTGGAGTTATCAGAAATACTTTGTTTAATCTATTTTTCATCTTATTGTTACCGAAGTGGTTTAAATCACCAAAGCTCCGTGTTGAAGTGTCTTTCAGGACATTTTGTACACAGATGTGTTTCAATTATATCTAACAAAATTACTTTAAAAGCAGAAATGCCATTAAGCAGCTTTGTCAATAGTTCTTGTAAAATGCCCCATTAATTTTACTTTTTATGTAAGTCTCTTGTGTACTTTTAATTAGAATGATAGCTGAGTCATAAGGCTAGTATGGAAAGGTCCAGTTGTTTCATAAACCAGTTTTGGGATGGGATACATTCCATTATATTGTATATATAGTTCAAATTGTATATTAACAACTGCCCCATCTTAGTATTTTGCAAGATCTACTTAGTTGTACACCTGATGCCCCTTATTTGTTGTCAGCCATTGCCATTCAATTGAAAGAGAGGCCTCCTGTGAAGAGCATGTATGTGAAAGCTGTTTGTTTCCAATGTCTGCAGAGTTTGCCATCCAGGTATTCTCAGTCTGTGCATTGCCTTTGATAATTAAGTGTACAGAAGGAGACTGCTTTCTATCACTGTTTGTACTTTGTTTTGTTAATTATTTTCTTCTCCCTCTTTTATGGAAGAGTGACCAGTACAATTCTCGAGTGCAGTTTTTTATTTCATACACAAATTAATGTTTTTCTCTTAAATCTCATAATCTGTTTTATACTTCAAAAGCAAAAATTCAGTCCTAGCAGTTGTTGCATGTAAACAGTTAGCAAATAATGACTGCAGTTCAGACAATTAAGATTTCTGTCATGGGACGCTCTGCTATACTTTGATTTTTTGATTTTTTTTAATTATTTTTTTTTTACATACATTTATGCTGACTAGCCCACTTGTGAAAAAAATATAAAACTCTGGCTTTTTAAAATTTACTGCCTCTTTGCTACTCCTTGTTCTTCCATTTCACAGTGTAAATATTGCGCATTGAAAAAATTAAGCAACAATTTACATCTCTTCTTTTTTTTCCCCTTTATAACAATGCAGATTTATAGTGGGGCTTACAGGTGTTGAGAAACTTTTTTGGTTAATATTCAGATCAAGAATACTAGATGGTGTATAACTGTAGAGTAGAAATTTAAGGGTTCCCTTAATCTGTATACTAGCTTTTTACCTGCAGTAAATAAACTATGATCTTGAAAGTGCCTGAAACAGAGCAAGCATGTCACTTTTATTTTTTTGTTGCTAATTAGAAAGGTTTTATTGCTTAACTGAAAGCTTTAGTTAATATCCTTCTTATTAGAAAGGGAGAGTTTATATTAAATAGATCAAACTGACATAATCGGCAGTGTCACTCGGATCTGCAGGATTCATGGCTGAGACACACCGAGTTAGCTTGGGAGTGTAGCTGTGCCTGCCGTAGGTAGACCTCATCTGTCTTAAGCACAACTCTACAGCCTCATCTGTGACTGGAATTCCAATTTTGCACTTCATTTTGAATCATTTAGATGCTTAAGTAGTTGACTTTAAAATACAACTTAAATTCATCATACCATTAAATTCACACATAACCTTTTTTAATAAAGGTTTTTAAAATATGGTCCTTAACATTTAATGGCACACTGTTTCAGTTCTTAAGTGCTGTTTCCTTAAAAAAAAATGAAGTTAAAAATACATTGTAAGATATTTCAACCTCTGGTTTACAAATAAAAAGACAAGTGTTCTCTCAGTTGTAAGATGCTGTGTTTAACTTCGAGGAGCTTGGGCATGAACTTTGGATATTTTCTTTTAAACATTTTAAAATGCAGTTGGTTTAAGTGGAGGAAAAATGAAAGTTGCCATGTTGATCTTGTATTTGACAGCATAGAGAATACTTTCTGTGCTTGCTAGTATATGCTAACTCACCGCTTTCACTGTCTCTCCTGTGATGTGTTTTCTCCTTTTCTGTTGCTCTTTGAAAGGAGAGAAAAATAATTAGGTGGAAAGGTCAGAAATATAGCGGAGTTTTCAGGAGCAAGTTAAGTGTACAGAACTTCTAAAATGACTTTGAAAATCTAAGCTAATTGAAACATGCTTCAGAGTGAAAGTATCTTTTTAGTAGTCCCTTTTCTGTCTTCTCATCTTCGTTCTGTGAGTCTTTTCCATATTCTGTCTGTTTCAGTTTAGGTTGTAGAGGATGTTGGTGTTTTGTCACCCTTACAGCCAGCATGGTTTAGAATACAGTTAGCTTTTAATGCCCCTCAGAAAGAAGATTTGGGGATTTTTATTTTTTTTCGTGTAGAAGATAACTGCCTACAGTATTTATCAGCTTTATTTTACTTTAAGACAGAACCTCTGTCTGTGATGGGGATAGTTTGTACTGGGTGTTATCAAATAACTGATGTAATACAGATTTTTGTGAAGAGCAACAGTGTCTTTTGCTAGACCACCTGGTATAAGCATGGATGTTCAGGGGAAATAGATGAGCTTTCCCAGTCTTGGACTTCAAAAAACCCAAAGCCTCACGAGCATTACCAGACCATGTATCTAACAAGGAAAGGTAAGTTTGGTAGGTTAACAGGAACTGACTTCATTGGTATTTCAGGTTCTAATTACATGGTTAAACGTGCAAGACTGCTTTGTTCTGCTGAGATTCAGGTACCCTTCCTCCTATTAGCTGCTATTGCAGCTCACTGAGAGCTGGTTTTAAGACAGTTTTGTCTGCTTCAAGTCCTCAGCTCTCAATGGCTGCTTGAAATAAAGACTGCTATCCAAAGCCTGAACTTGAACGTGTGCCTCAAGGAAGAACATAGATCATTCAGGGACACATTCTTTTAAAACAAACTTTCAAGTTAATGTCAAGATCAGGATTTTGAAAGTTAAATCCCCAAGCAGTACATATATATGCAGTTTTACAGTCCTTGGAATTTACATCCTGCTCTCCTGTGTTTTTAGGATGATGTTAACAGTGGTCCTATATAGGATGCTAATGAAACCTGTGTGCCATACACAATGCTTGTGAGGCAAAAATGGCATAAATTGCCTATCAAAGGCTGGTGACTGAGTGCTCGTGTTCATGTCCATTTTTCCTGCAAAGTGAAGATATGTATAAACTAACATGTTCTCTGTGAACTGGACTGAATCTGTACTGAAAAGAAATAAAGCACCCTTTGAAGCTATGAGCTGCAGGTGGTTACTGCGTATTGCATGCATGCAGTCTGAAGGGGGCCTTATAGGGATGCTGGGGAGGGCCTCTTCATTAGGGACTGTAGTGATAGGACATGGGGTAATGGGTTAAAACTGAAACCGGGGAAGTTTAGATTGGATATAAGGAGGAAATTATTTACTGTAAGGGTGGTGAGGCACTGGAATGGGTTGCCCAGGGGAGTTGTGAATGCTCCATCCCTGCCAGTGTTCAACGCCAGGCTGGACGAAGCCTTGGGTGGCATGGTTTAGTGTGAGGTGTCCCTGCCCATGGCAGGGGTGTGGAACTAGATGATCTTAAGGTCCTTTCCAACCCTAACTGTTCTATGATTCTATGAATACCTAAAGGATGGGGATTTTTTTCTCTTTTAATTTGCTAAGTAATTTCTGGTGTTTCTTAAGGCTCTGGTGTTCACCACTTTGGGAAATGGAACTTCAAGATTTCCACCAAAGCCTCAGTTCGGCTTCAGCTGGGCTTCAGGCACTTCAGGTAGTCAGAGCCTGTTGTGTCCTACTTTTCCCTGTTGTCCCTCTATCTATTCACACGGAAGAGGGTTTCCTGCTTCAGAAAAATACAAATTTACTGAAAAAGTAATACATCCTATGGCAATTCTTAATGTATAAAACAGTTTAATTAGGAATGACACACTGTCAAGTGTTTTGTGTCAAAAAGTGTGATTTCAGGTGTGTGTAGGAGGATCTTTGCATGGGGAAGAAACATGGTCAGAGCTGCTGCCCATGCTAATTTCTGAATGAAGTCTGGAGTTTCCTCCCATTGGCTCTTGGTTTCTCTTGCCTACAAAGCAGCAGCATGAAGCCCATGGAAAGCTGGCAGTAACAAATGCCTTCTGACTCAGGAGGAGAAAGAGCTTCTCCAGAAACAGAAGAAAAGTTAGTTTGTAAGATGGCAAAAAAGAACGGAATGAAATGCTGATGACTGGCCTTTGGCTTTCCCTCCCCGCTCCCCCCTCCCACCTTTCTGTACTTCCAAACAATTTGCTTTTCAGCTCTTTTTTTGTTGTTCTTTATTTGGCTCTTGATCTTCTCTGTTTCTTCTCTTTTCCCTGTTGCTTGGTGACTTCCTGTTTCATGCTTGTGAATGAGTTGTACAGATCATCCAATCTTGGTTGTTTCCACTCTCCCCTTTTTTATTACTAACCTTTTTTATTTTTTGCTCTGTTTTACCGTCTGCCCGAGCTTGACTCTCCATTACTCTGTTCTCACAGATTCTTTCCCCTCTGCTTTCATTCCCTGCCGATGCCTCAAGGAACCTCCCCTTCTTCGACAAATAGGTTTGTCAATAAAGTCTGCCTTGGTGGCTGAACTGAAGCAGCTGGCCACTGCTTCAGCTTACAACAGATGGTTTGTTAAGGTGAGCAAAATGTGATGCTAGTTTACCTTGAAGCTGCTTTTTGCCTGCTTCAAAAACAAGCTATTGGCCATGCAGAAGGGAGACTTGTAGCTGAGGATCATGCTGTTGCCAGTTCTCTAATGTAAGTAGATCTTGTTCCTGAGCCAGTGCTTTAAGGACTTGGTACCACTTACTTAAGCTTTTCCTACAGTGAGAGCATTATGTACAAGAATAATTTCCCCTTCTGGGCTTCCTGCTTAAAAAAGAGTTGAGTTTGTGTTGCAGCTCAAAAAAGCATCTTCTCTATTTGGCTATTTTTATGGAAGTTGTAAATTAAATTCTTTGGAAGGTTACTTCCATTTAATTTGATTAAAAGTGACACCTGGGGGAAGAAAGAGGCATGGATTCACTTAGAATGTGATTACATAAGCCGTTTTTCTGGCAAAATAGACCAACATATTTTAGGTTTTCATTTTTGCTGTCTTGACTCCTAATGCATCAGCAGTGCCTTCCCATGTAGTGCTTCTGATGTCTGCTCAGAAAGGGTTTACCGTCACCTTACGCAGTAGTCCTTCAGGATTTATCATCTGTTGCCCCTTCCTTTTGTACGTTTAGTCAAATCTTGGATTTTTTTCTTCCTTTTTTCCTGGGATTGATCTTGAAGTGAGGTGTTAGAAGAGTACTTTGGTGGTTGTAAAGTGAAATGACAGGCGCTTTATACGCTTTTTTCGCCACTGCCAGGGTATCTTTGTAGGTCCTTATTTGTTTCCTGTCTGTTCAAATGAAACCAGATCATGTCTCAACCAGCTTTTAAAATCCTGCCCTGACTCCTTATGCTCCTGAGGACCTCTGTCACTTCTGAAAATAAGATTTAGCCAAGTCATGTGTAAGTTTTGCAATGCTAAACGGAACACCACCTACACACCATTAAAAATCTCAGACCTTATATTCAGAGGACTTGCAGAAGGAATTTAGCAGAACTAAATTGTTTCTCCAAACAGTGGTATCACAATAACCCGCCTCAGCTGTGCCTGTAAGCAGAGCCCTTGATGGAGAGGTCATACTAATGCCTGAACAAAACCTGGGTAGAAGGGAGCTTCCTCTCCTGGAAAGGTCTGGGGCTCCTGAGGCCGTTAATCTTAAGCAATGCTCTTAATGACACTTTGAAAATGGCACACACTTCGTTACTCTTTCCCCTCCCTGGTGAAATGAGCTGGCTGTGGGGCAGAGGATAGGAGGACTTTCTGCCCCTCACGTGGTGTAGGAGCTGCTTTCCAGCCAGGCAAG